ATAATAAGAAATGTCCCGGCAAGGGAATTACACAATTAACAGCTAAATCCCGGCAAGGGAGCAACAACAATACTTTCACATCCCGGCAAGGGAGATAATCAATATACTCAAACCATCCCGGCAAGGGATTAATCATATCACTTTCTATTTCCTTCATTTCTTACTCAATAGTCTTTTTATCGTTCGAGCCAACGCTCCAAAGAATTTACAATTCATAATTAGTCCTCATACTCTTCACATTGCATAGAATTCATCAATTAACATGGAAGAGTCGTAACAATATCAGGATAAGTACATACAAGGAGCCACGGTCATGCTAGACACCGGTGTATAGATACTCGTCACCATGCCTATACACTGTACTCGATCATTTAGCAATTAGCAAATAATAACACTCTAATCCTATTCCTTCAAGCCAAAGTTAGATCAAACACTTACCTCAAATGCTTCCAAAATCAACTCAAGCCTCTAGTATAGCTTTACCCCTCGAATTCGGCTCCAACTCAGTCAAATCTATGAAATAACGATTTTACAATAATAATAATTGCTAAACAAACTAAACCCAATGCCTAAATATGAATTTCTAAGCTTTCTACCCAAAATTCCAAAAATCGACCCCGGGCCTGCTTGGTCAAAACCCGAGGTTCGAACTAATTCCATGTCACCCATCCCCCCACGAGCCCGAATATACAATTTGTTTTCAAATTCGACCACAAAACGAGGTCTAAACCAAAGAAAATTGAAAAGCCCTAATTCTACCCTTTTCCCCCAATTTACACCTTAGGTTACATGTTTTAGGTCTAGGAATTTGATAAATGATGATAGAAAATGAAGAAAACGAGTTAGATAATACTTACAAAAGAAAATTTGGTGAAGAAGAGCTCTAAAGATCGCCTATGGGCTGTGGAGAAGATGAGTTCGTGTGTTTTGGGTGAAAAATCCCGTCAATGTTCTGTTTTGGGGTATTTAAAATCACTGGGCAAAATTGCCCTTCGCGTTCGCGGGAAGGGGGCCGCGTTCGCGAAGGGTAAACCGGGTAAGCATAGCGAACGCGTGAAGTCAAGCGCGAACGCGTAGAAAGAATGTACTGGGGGGTCCGAGGTTTGTTCTATGCGAACGCGTTGAAGGGCACGCGAACGCGATGAAGGGATCAGCAAAGCTATGCGTTCGCGGACAGTGGAACGCGAACACGAAGAGGAAATTACTGGGCTCCTATTTTTGGCTTACGCGATCGCGAGGTCCAAGACGCGAACGCAAAGAAGGAAGATTCAGTACTACGCGAACGCGAGAGGAAGGGCGCGATCGCGAAGAAGGAAATCCCTGTGCACAAATACCAGATTTTTCTGCAACTTTCTAAGTTCAAAAACCACTCCGACACACCTCCAAAACACTCCCAAGCCCTCGGGGCTCCTAACCAAACACACACACTAACTCATCAACATCCTACGAACTTAACCGAGCGATCAAATCGCTAATATAACATCATAAACGAGGAGTCAAACCTCAAAATCATAATTTTTCATTCTAACTTCATAAACTTCAAATTTTAGATATTTAGGTCCGAAACACGTCAAATGATGTCCGATTTCGACCAAACTTTACAGAAAGCGCTTAACACATATTTAAGACTTATTCCGGGCATCGGAACCAAAATACGAGCCTGATACCATAGTCTTTTAATCAATTTTCATTTCCAGTTTCCTTAATAATTCCAGAAAAACAATTTCACAGAAAAATTCTTTTCTCGGGCTCTAGACCTCGGATTTCGACTCCGGGCACATGCCCGAGTCCCATATTTTTCTACGGACCTTCCGGGATCGTCAAATCACTGGTCCGGGTCCGTTTACCAAAAATATTGACCAAAGTCAACTTTAATCATTTTAAAGCCACATTTTGAAATTTTTCACAGAATTTAACATATAATCTTTCCGGCTACGCGCCCAGACTGCGCACGCAAATTGAGGCAACTACAAGTGAGGTATTCAACGCCTCGAAAGCTCGGAAAAAGAGAGAAATCCGGTGATGACCCTTTGGGTCGTCACAAAAGACCAAAAGGCGTAAGCGGACTAACCCTGGTCCCTTGAGGACCCTAGAGATGATGATACCAGCATAGGAGAGGTCGTTAGAGGCCTGGGGGTGGTGAGAAACCACCATGGATGGCCATAGATGAGTGACAGCGAGGGTGGATTAGGGTTAGGTTTGAGAGCATTGGAGAGAAAAGGGGTTTCAGGGCGGCTGTATGGAGGAAATGATTAGGGTTTAGAGGGTCGTTTGATTAAAAAAAGGTAAGTATTGATGTGGACCGTTGATCTAAAGGATCAACGGCCACGATTTTATGGGGATCTTGGGTCGGGTAGATGCAGATTGGGCTTGGGTGAACTGGGCTGGTATTAAAGGGGTTTAAATTGGGCTGATTTAATAGGCTAGGTCCGAATAAAAAAGGGGCTATTTGTTAAATACATAATTAATTGCCAAAATTTTTTTTTAAAAATGGTTAACAAATTACAAAAAATAATTTTCATGCATGGAAATGTTTTAAAGTAATTACTTAATACTTAAAAAATATAAAAGGCTATTTTCCGGTAAAAATAATCTAATAATTCATGCATAGGCTATAATTGCAAAGTAATTGCAATTGCATCCTAAAATACAAATGTGGCTATTTGTTCAATAATTAAAACTTAATACAAATGCAAATGATAAAATTAAGCCAAAAAATTATTATAGAACTATTTTGTGATGCAATCAATGATTGTTTTTATAAATAAATGCTGGGATAAGTTAATTAAAATATTTTAAAAATGAAAAAATTGTATGAAAAATACTAATTGGTGCCAAAGCATGGTTTGAAAATATTATGGGAAAAATTGGGTATCAACGGTAAGAAATAGTTCATTGATTATGCATGTATTATCATTTTCAAATAGTAAATGTTGTGAATCATAAGTCATTGAATCATGTCCATGAGAAGGATAATCTTATATTCAATGTTCGACGTGGCGATGGTCTTCATTTCTATTACTTCCTTTACAACCGTTGAATGTCATACGACGAATCCTCGCACTACTGCTAGTGCTTGAAAACAGTGATATGCTTTTCTTTTCCTATAAAAGATATGTGAAGCATCTTATTCTCTCCACCATCAGAATTTTAATTAGCCTAAAATGGATTAGGAGGTAGACTAAATTTGAGAACTGTGGCCTGTGAAGTAGATTGATGATCGATGACTACTACTACTACTTTGGATGGTTGGAAATAAAAGTACAAAAAGGCATTTTCGATTTTTCATTTCAGAGACAATAGGAAGAGAAAACAATATTAACAAAATGAATTACGTAGTAAATATTTTTTACAAGAGTTTAAAAGGTCAAAGTCCAAGGAGTTGCGAGTCATTACTTTAAAAACTGAATCTCAACAGAAACAACACTAGACGAATTTGTCCAATTGTTTATGTTTTGATGAGCGGAATTATCTTGTATTTGTGCCGATAAAAGATACTACATACTCAATGAATTAATCGAAATGAATGTAAGCTGATTGACATCGTCCTTATAAAAAAAACAATGATATAGACAGAAAATGGATATGTTCTTATCAGTAGTTTTAGCAATATCTGTTTATTAGCAAATGCAAGTTGCATCCATAAAGAATTTCCTTTTGACAATATTCCAACAACAATATGCCTCCAGCTGGACATCTAACATATATAACCAAAGTCTACGAATCTTGAGATTGACGGCGAAATCCAAAATGGAGATCAATGTCATTGTCAGCAAAGAAAATTTCACCTGATTTTGTTGACTAATTGTCCATAATATATTATCAAGGACCCCAAATTAGGAATGTTAGTAAGATATTATTTGTGCTGATCAATTCTCATTTTTCGTGTCTTAAAAAGGAAATCAAATTCTCATTGCACTCAAGCGAGCTTCATACCTTATTCTCTTTCCAGGGTTTATCCAAATGATCTAAGTTTTATTTATTAGTTGTGTAATAAATAAATATTTCTTTTATATGTTTCAGTATAATTAAGCGAATTCTAACAAGTTGCTCATCTAGTTTTACAAGCTATTAAGCAATATTAAAAGTATAAATACTTATCTATATTTTACTTTTAGCAAGTTACAACACTTGCATCTCAATATAAAGCAAGTTGACATCAGCTATATGAATCTTTAACGTTCATATCGCGATGCTTAAGTGCATCTCACTTCAATGTTGTTTAGATTGAAATTTTAAAATTATGTAATAAAACACTAAAAGTTTTCTATACTTTTTCTTCACTAACATAAATCTCTAATCAGTGGCGGATCCAGGATTTTAAAGTCGTGGGTGCTTACTGATAAAAATTCTTAAAGAAGATCGAGGAAAAAAGAGTTTAGTTATGGGTGCTCACTCAATATTTATCTAAATATTTTTATAATTACCTATACATATTACTAAATCTTGTCAAAGATAGTGAGTGCTTGAGCACCCAAAAACAGCATGTAGATCCGCCACTATCTCTAATAAGACTAAGAAACTTTCGCATGAATTTCAATCCAAACTCCTCTGTATTGCCTATGTAAAAAAAAAAAAATTCCTTCATTATATATGTCCTATTTTCATTAGTTTCGCATGAATTTCAAGAGATTATATCATCCTTTTTTAACTTACTTTTTAGTAAGCCAATTGAATAAGAATTGTAGGGTATATGGTGGGATAGCAAGTGTTCTTTCATCTTGATCAAAAATTTTGAATTCCAAAAAATGGAGTCCTCTTTAGTAGGGATCACTAAAACCATCATAGTAAACTTCAACGACGCAAATTCGAATAAGTGGGGCCGATAGGTTTTTGGAACATTGGTTGATTAAATAAATAAAAATTAGATTGAATAAACATTTTAGTCATAAATTTTATTCGCAACTACAATTCAAATAACCCCATTATTTGTCCACGTGTTAGGTGTATGATCACACAATCACCAATAGTCTCCTGCCTTCTGCTATAAAACCCCGACTCTGCTTCACCATTCTCATCGCAATTCACAAACTCTTTTTTGATCAATAGATTCCTAATCTTTTCCTAAGAAAAAAAATCATGTCTTGCTGTGGAGGAAGCTGTGGCTGTGGATCTGGCTGCAAATGCGGCAGTGGCTGCGGAGGGTAAGTTCTTTGTAAATATTTAGTACTAACATAACTGATCCTATTGATAATTTATTTTTCCTTTCACTCCATTTATTTGTTTCTTGATTTTGATTAAATTGCAGATGTGGGATGTATCCCGACTTGGAGAATACCACCACCTTTACCATCATTGAGGGAGTTGCACCTATGAAGAAGTTAGTCTTATTTTAACTTTCTGTCTCTATATTGAGTTTAATTTCTTTAAACAAAGAACATTATCAGGCCACCTAAAGCATAACTTCAGGTAACAATTCATGATAATCAGGTTTAAGGCAAAATGCATACTTTACCCATCGACCTTGCACTCAAATCCCTCTTACACGCTTGTTAAACACGGGAATAGTATTACATACCAAAACTTCTAAAAGTGTGTCAATTGCACACCTCTTTTGCCATGTGTCACACGTGTGTATTACACATAAAAGAGGCGCGTGAAAACTAAAAATTTCATCTGAAATTAAGTTTTATTTTATTTTTTCCGTTTTTTTAATTATTTCCTTTTTAAATTAAATAAAAAAAATATCAACCCATGTCTTCTTCCTCAACCCCAAACCCCAGCGCTCCCTCCCCCCTCCCCCCTCTCCCCGTTCGTCTTCTTTCCCAACCCCCATCCTAGTTTTGTGTGCCCCCTCATGTTTCTCCCCTCCAATCCCCATGACTAAGAAGAAAAAGAGAAAGAAGAAGAAAATGGGAGCTATTGGGTCTTGTAAAAATCACAATTATGGACCTTTTGAAAAGCTTTGAAAAATTTAATCGGGTCTTGTTATTTTGTTATTCCATGACCTAGAAAATTAATTTTAATTCGTGATTATTGTTGAGAAAAAATTTACTAAAAATATGCTGAAAATTTGGTAATTAATTTTGATAAAATTCAAAGATCACCATTAACAAGTTTGAAGCTTTGGGTTTGAACTTGAATTTGAAATTTGTATAAGGATTTGTGATAAATGTTGTTAAAACTTGTTAATCGGCAAAGAATTGATCTATAGTTTTGGGAAGAAGGTGTTTGTGGTGGAAAGGGTGGTGGTAGTATGGTGGTGGGGTGGAGAAGATGATGGGGTTGGAAAGAAGAGGGGGGGGGGGGGTTTCTTTTTAAGTTTTTTTCTTTTCTTAGGGAAGATGAGGAGAAGGGGTGGGAGGGGAGGGGAGGGGGGATAGAGGTTTTCTTTTTCAATTTTTCTGTCTTTTCTCGATTTATGACACGTGTCAGATGCTGATTGGCGCGTGTAATAGCAATCTTTAAGCAAATGTGGTCAAACACCGAAGTGGTGTGTAATTGACACACCTTTAAAAGTTTTGGTGTATAATATTATTCCCGCATTTAACAGGTGTGTAAGAGGGATTTTTGGGTATAAGGTCGATGGGTAAAGTATGTATTTTGCCCAGGTTAAATAATCTAAAAAAGAAAGCATATAACCTGCTACAACAAGGTGAAATTAAAATACCTTAGTAAAAGAATTCGTCATACAGAGTCAGATTCATATTTTAGACTTTATAGGTTAGACTTTTATATTCTGACCACTAAACTTATTACACTTTCGCAATTATTACACTCAAAATTTTAGTAATTTTTCATATTATGTATATTCATGTTAGGGTTAAAAATAGGGTAAATTTCACAGATGGTCATATAACTATGACTTTTTGTCACCAAAGTCATATAACTTTATTTTCTCACACAAAAATTATATAACTATGACTTTTTTTCACTAAAGTCATATAACTATGTTTTCTCACACAAAAAAATTATATAACTATGACTTAAGTGAAAAAAGTCATAGTTATATAATTTTTGTGTGAGAAAACAAAGTTATATGACTTTAGTGAAAATAAATCATAGTTATATGGTCATTTGTGAAATTTACCCGGTACAAATACTAGGTTCAGTTATCCATCGAGCCTATGTTGCATCTGTCCCTATAGTGTAGTTCACATGAGTTAAATCTCTCTAAATTTTGTCAAATTTAATTAGGGTTAAATGACAGACTAATCGCATAACGAAAATAAACTCGAAAGAAGAAACAATTTTAGTCTAGCAAAAAACTGAGTAAATTTTTCATGAATTGCAGCTATGAGGGATCTGCTGAGAAAGCAACAGAAGGAGGAAATGGCTGCAAGTGTGGAGCAAACTGCAAATGTGACCCTTGCAACTGCTGATGAACATGGTCACTAGCTGGCCCAAAAATATACTATGTGTTTTAAAAGCTTTGTAGTATTAATAAGACTACAACCATGAAACTGACCATCTCCAAATCTTTTAGATAAGGTTTGTTTGATGTTGTTTCATGGTTTTTCTGTTTGGTTTTATAATCTGATATTTGTATGAAAGGAAGCTGATTTGGTCTGTAACACGAACTTATCAATATATAGAATACAAGTTGGCTTCTCCTTTCATTATGTGTAAATTATGTCTGTTTACAATCAAATTCATATAGGAAGAAAATAACGAATGTTAAGATGGGAAAGTAAAGCTGCAATTATGAAGGTGGGGCAAACTCACGTCAGTGCCCTATTCTTTCGTGCAAATTATTATAGACGGAATATTTCATTTGCGTGCAAGAAATTATCAACAAAAGTAGAAGGCCTTAAATTCCATATAATTTAGACAATTATCATTACCATTACCACTAGTCCATTACTCCATCACCATCAATATTATTTACACCACGTAGAAAAGGTCAAATTTTCTAACCAATTACTATCGTGTGCGTCACAAAGTAGACCAAGTGAGTGGAAAATATTTTTCATAAAAAAATGGAGTATTAAAGATTAGTAACAATATTAACAAATTGGACACATACGTATGCCCGTTTCCATTTGCACTTTCTATAATCTCTCTCTTCCACCTTATTTTCCAATTACTCCTAAATGTGCTCTTATTTGATAAAAAGTTTACATAAACACACAACACATACGGATAAATGAATGTTGCAACTTTCTCCCATTCTTCTTTCGTTCAGACCCACACTCATGCCCCTTTCTTCTTCAACTCTCCAATTCATTATTCATACGACGCTATTTAAAATACAGAAATAGAAAAAGAAAGAAAATTCTATTACACTTTCAGATCTAAAAAAATCGTAAATCCCATTTTACTTTTCCACGGTTGCTTTGTTTTTGAGTTTTCTGTAAGGCCCCATAAGTTTCTAGGCTTAAAATTCCAGTAATTACGGATTTAATAATATAATTAAAATATCAGGGGAGTATAAGGACCCACAAACTTCACCCATATAATCTGGAAATATACCCGCGAGTGGTAGATATGGATCTAAAGTGCTGGAAACAATAATTTGAACAAAGAGTGAGAAAAAAATAAGAGAAGAAAAAGAAACTATGTAAATAATGAGATAATGGGCCAAGCCCACGTCTGATAGTGGGAGGATTAAGGGGTCGTTTGGTACGCAGACTAAATTATCCCGAGATTATGGGATTATAATAAGACGGTATAGGTGGGATAAGAGGTGGGGTTAAATTTATACCTTGTTTGATTAGAGGTAGGATAAATTTATACCTCCAACCAAACAAGGTATAAATTTAATCCCACCTAATTTCTCGTACCAAACGACCCCTAAGGGCAAGGGGTTTGGAATTCCTTAGACAGAAAAAAAAATGCAGGAGTAACAGAAGAAAGGAGAAATAGGTATCCTCGAGCATTGTTTCAAGAGCAGAAGAAGAAATTCAAGGTAATAGAGTATTATGTACATCTTTATTGTTGTGGGTATCATCATATATAATTTAAAGAATAAATTTTGGAATATAGCATACTTTACCCAATTCATTGACATTCTGACAAATTCAAGTCATTTTCTGCTCTTGATTACGGATGGGGTGAATGAGCATCCTTTGGGTTTAAAAGAAGTATTCTTTATTAAATACTACAGCTTTTCAACTACGTAAATACATTTGGATTAAGGTAGCATGCCCCCACTTAAATTAAAGTTATACTATCAATATTTCGAAAATATCAGAATAGTTGATGTCGTGTAATTAATAACATTATTTATGCTAGTTTATCAGTTATATCTTTGTTCCGAGTTCTTGAAACTTTGGATATAAGCGTGATGGTGAAAGATGGTGCAAAATTAATGGGTGTCGATTATTGTAACTTGGGGGTATACTTGACGACTGTTTAAATCTATTAATGGATAGAACTTGAAATGTGTGGACTTAATTTGTGCAAATTGAGTTAGAATTCACAAGTTGGACAGGTTAAGCCTAAATATTCATGAACTAAATGAATTAAGTTATACTTTTAGTTCTTGTATTAATGTAAACTGAATCCCTTTATCATGTAGATATACTTGTAAATCGGGATTTGTTGAAGGACGCGTGAAACGCAGTGAGCATATAGTTTTAAGTTGAGTTGAATTGAGGCTTACTCTCCTAGTAGAGAACTTTATTAAAACCCTCATGCTCCATGTGTTCAATAAATCTAAGATGTGTATTCTTGTACTCTATTACTCAGTTCACTCCACTCTAATTCAGTACTACTTTATATGTGATAGAATTACATGCTTACTTGTATTACCGTACGTGAGAGTTATGCCCCAAACCTGAAGAGGCGTGGCCGGCACCCGGTGCCGTACTCGGCCCGAGCGTACCACTTTGTAACTGTGAACTCTGGAGGGGTAACCCTCAACTTAGGCCGATGAGACCATATTCTGAATCGTCTGAAAATAACGTCTCTCTCATCTATGGGGTAAACATACCCAAAAGCTGATGTGTATATATATATATATATATATATATATATATATATATATATATATATATATATATATATATATACACACACGTGCGTTGCACCTGTATGTCCGAGTAATGTAATACACAATTTTATAAAGTAATATCAATATTGTTAAAGAAAATATTATACATGACAAAATAAAGTATATATGTTAATGATCAATGTAAATTATCGTACAATAGTTTGTTTGTCTAGGTCAAAATGATTGGATCATNAATAAATTATATATGTTAATGATCAATGTAAATTATCGTACAATAGTTTGTTTGTCTAGGTCAAAATGATTGGATCATGATCCTACTAAGATAAACAATCAATATTCAATTAGATACATGTGATTTTTAGCAAAATCTCCCTATAACGTAATTTTAAAATTTACTAAAAAAAAAAGGGCAGCATGGTGCACTAAGCTTCCGCTATGCGCGGGGTCCGCGGAAGGGCCGAACCACAAGGTCATTGTACGCAGTCTTACCCTGTATTTCTGCAAGAGGTTGTTTCCACGACTTGAACCCGTGACCTCCTGGTCACATGACAACAATTGTACCAATTACACCAAGGCTCCACTTCAAATTTGAAATTGCATAAATTACATTATCTTATTTATATAGTACAAAAAACTAAATATTTTTCATGAAAACTTATCATTCTAACTTACCTTTAATTGTAACTATTATCTCTCTTCTCCCACTTCATCCTTCTCCGATAGTAATTTCGTTGTTGCTAACATGAAAATTATGAAATTAATTTAGTGATAAATATAAAGTAATGTGCTAAAAACTAATTCATAAATTTTTATAAAGAATTACCACAAAATAGTGTGGTTACTAATTTTTTCGCCTCTTTCCAAGGATAAGCCATTTGAATTTTTTTAATTGCGAATGTTATTGTCAAATTTCTTTTTAAAGGTATTGTTAGTAAAAGTCATTTCGGCTTCTCTATGCAGTGAAGAGTGGTTAGGATTAACACGACCTAAATGACCATTATAACATAATAGCTCTTAAATGATTCAAAAAAGTTCTTATGTTATTTCTGATGACTTATTGGAGAATGTAAAACAATGAAAAACTCCATTCAGTTAGCATGATAATTTAGTCTTGTGGAAAGGCGTATATAGGCGGTCACTCCTCGGTTCATATTGAAATGTCGCTATCAAACCTAGTGTATCTTGACGTGCATGGTAGAGTGATAATTTTTTAACGATAGTCATTGTATTTTTGGTTCCTTTAGTCTAGGAAAGCTAAAGAATGGAAAAACGTAGAAAAATTAAATCTCGAAGTTTTCTATTCCTTTGTTTTTTAGGTAGACAATTGGCTATAGTCACAAAAGTAACTCCTGACCTTGAGGATGGTTGTCAGCTTGTCGATTATTAGGTCAAGTAAGGTTGTTAGATCCTTCTTTTCTTTTATGCATATACAACATATTGAATTCCCATTGTTGTTAGTTTTCAAACACACACATGAAGATATATATAGTAGAAGAAAAATACCACTAAAAGGCAAGGAGTTTAATTTTTATGGCATGAGATGAATTACTTAAATTTATACCAGAATAATCATTTATATGAGAAGGTGGCAAAATGAAGATCTCTTTGAATTCGCTGTTTGTCGATGATGCCCATCGGTTGGCTATGTAGTAGAGCATTAACTCTAAAGGTTGCAACGGCTAAAGACTATTATTGAATGAAAAGGTTAGTTATTATACGATTGAACGGACACAACTATTCTAAAATGAACACTTCAAATTTGTTTTATTCTTTTTAATAGAATATTATTATTAACTAATATTAAATGGGGTAAAAGATTCCATCATTTTTATGGGCATTTTTGTAATTTAACTTTAGACTTAGGGGCTTCCCACTTTTAATATATATATAAGCAAATTTTTAGAACCAAAATAAAGAGCACTAGGTATACCATGTTTATTTGTTAACTCAATATCTCTTTCATCGTCGATTATTTTTGAGGTCTGTACCCGCTTGTATAAAAGTTTGATTCTGCCACAGATAAGTATAGTCAGCATCAAAATCTAAAGCCTATTATCCATGCCACACTTGTAAACTTCTTTTGAAGAACATCACAATGAATCAACAATATCCAATTCTCATCACCCAAAGCTCACTAAACAAGAAAAGCAATGGACTATCATTTGAATATAAATTTAAAGAGATATAAACGAGCAAATTCATCTAGCATACAACATCTTTTTCTTTTTCTTTTCTTCTTTTGATGTGTCAACTTGATTACAGTCTTCAACTTCAGAATCATCCAATGGTCGCTTTTCCTGTTCTCTTCATTGCACTCCCAACTCTTCATGGCCATTGCCTCTAGAAAAGTGCAAGACACAAACCTTGTAGTAATATAGATGATCAAGCATCAGTGGACAATAATTCTACTCATAAAAAATAAAATAAAAAAAGAGCAAAAATTGAATAATATACTCCCCCATTTGACATGGTAGTGTTTGACTAGACACCAAATTTGAAAAACAAATTAATGTATAGTGGTAAGAGTCTACAAGTCCTCTCAGGCTTCCTTCTTATCATAGAAATATAAACTTTTATGAAAATGATTCCCAGCAAATCATATCATTAAATTGTAAGTGAGAATGATAAATTAACAACTTGAGCATATAAAATTGTGACAATC